ATAGATACTTATTAATTGTGATATTTAGAAAACAAGATCACTGATACTACAGCTCCCTACAGCTGGAAAGGGAAACATATAACCAGAGGTGGCTCTCTAACTAGCTGGTTTAGGCGGCCACCTAAGGCCTCTCGCTGGCTGGAGCCTCGCGGCTGCCTAAACGCCTTAGGGCAGACGGTGCCAGGTCCCTGGTCAGTGACCGAGGACCCGACACCAGGGGGCCCGGCGGCTTGCTCAGTATGCTGCCGGGTGCGAAGCCCCTCCTGTCTGCCCGCCAGCACTCGTAGACACCGGTCTGCAGCTACGCAGTGTGCAGAGCTGCAGACCATGTGTCATCCGAGAACTGGCCAGGTTACCACGGCAACGCTCTGACGGGTCTCGCAAATTACATGGTCTGCAGCTCTGCGTTGCTGCAGACCGGATATAATGGCCACTGGACCACCAGGGAATAAAAAAGGTATTTAGTCACCCCCTCTCACCATCACCCCCCTCCCTCTCATCATCACCCCCCCTTTCCCTGTCACCATCACCCCCCTCCCTGACACCATCACGCCCCTTCTCCCCATCACCCTGTAGTGGGACCTTGGTAACCTGGCTGGTTATCCCCTTTAGTTAGAATAGGTCAGTCCCATTTCCGATCTAGCGATCACCATCACGCCACCTCCACTCGCCCTGTCACACTTACTCATCAAACCATGTCATACTCCTTATCCTCATTCTCTCTCACAAACCCCCCCTCCACCCTGTCCATTTACCCCCTTTACTCACCTTGTCACACTCTCCCTGTCACTGGTACCCCTTTACTCACCTTGTCACAGTCACCAGCTGAAGACATTCATCATACACACACAGTCAGGAAACATAGCTTTGTCATACACAATGCACTACAGGCAGACCCCCATACACACAACACACTTCAAGGAGCTACCCCATACACATACGGTCCCAGACAAAAACACAAACATTCACACACACAAGGATTCTCTCTGTCAGACACACACTCTCGGGCACATACACAGGTAAACTGTGCTTCAATGTGCATATGTGACAGTGTGCATGTATTGCAACTCTATTTTTTTCACTTTTCTGTTAGTGGGGCCACACGTTTGAGTTTCGCCTAAGGCCTCATAAAGTCTAGAGCTGCCTCTACATAAAAGTCATTGTATTTACACAGGTTTTATATATAGGAACAAGAGATATGAGGTATCAGGTCAAATAAGCTTGCAGTCTAAAGGACGTAGGCTTTATTTTGAGTATTGATGTATGTAGGAAATATACATTATAAGTCTAGTATATAGGTTTTAATCAGATAATTAGTAGAACATATAAACTATATTTCTATTTGTACCCTTACATAAATGATTTATACATTTTTAATCCCTACTTCTTTATTTATATATTTAGAGCCCTAAACCCAATAGAGATACACTGACTTCACCCACCTTTAAGATGTTGTAAAATATTGCAGTTACAAGAAACAAACATTATACTACGTTGTATAAGACGTGGCACTCTGTTCACACAGTAACTGGTTTACATGCAATAACACAATAATAATAATTGTCATAGTCATGGTTTGTCCATCCTTGATATGTCTTCACGAGGGACAACGTCCATCCTCTTAATTTTATAACCAGCTTCTTTAAAAGCTCTTTTAATATCTTATTTTGTCATCATCAGGCTTGAAAATGTCTTGTTCCCAATGTAATAAAATGTACAGTTTAGTGCACTGTGTATTATGATATGACCCCCTGGATTGAGAAAGTCCATGAAATTTTTAAGGCTGTTGCAGTAAACGGCTGCATCCACACAGGTAGCTTCCAAGCAGAGACAACTTGAGAAGCAATCAGCTGGTTCCAGAATGACAGGCTCAAATGGGTTCTTTTTAAGTGCATCACATTTTAGAATATGTTTCATGGCTCTCCTCACTTTTTCTTCATTTTTCTCACAATTGTCCCTGTTGAAAGAGAACATTAGACATAATATGGTTTTATCTGTTGACACAAAAAAGTCTGTGTTCTTTTAATAATGACACAAAAATTTTCTCCAAAATATTGGCAGATAGATCATCTCAAAGTTTTCCATCACTTATTGACTATGATCAGGTGGGTTTTGTTTTAAATCATCAGGCCCCGGATAGTGCAAGGCGTTAAATAAATATAATACATCAAATAAAACTAAATCTCACACCTTCTTTGCTCTTATCTTTAGATTATTTATTTTATTATTATTATTTATTATTATTTATAAAGCGCCAAAAAGTTCCGTAGCACTGTAAAATGGGTGGACTAACAGACACGTATTTGTAACCAGACAAGTTTGACGCACATGTATGTACGTAGTGGGCATTGGACGGGATGACCTTTTACCAAACCATAGCTTCCCCCCAAATAAAGACAGACACCAAATCTTGGAAGTAACAGGCCACAGCATTTATTAAAACACAAATACTGCATGACTCCTTCAACATATAACTTTACATAATATTCTCATAAATAAATAACATGTAAGTACCTGCATGATGTCATACAGTACTTGTCCAACACGTCCTTGCCAATCTAATTCCTTCTTCCCAAAGGCTCTCACCTCCCCCCTCGGCATAATAAACTCCTCTTGCCTTTTTGGCTCCCCACCAGCTGGCTTTATCTTGGTGGGGACACATCCAACTTGGTACCATTTAAGATTCACCAAAGAGACAGGGGAGGATGAGACCCGGCCATTACCCCCCACCTTCATCTAACCTGCAAAAACCACCACCCCTTACTTGGCAAGAACACCCCCCACCTCAACCCTGCTGTTTTAAGCCTAAAATCAGCAGGGGACCCCAAACAACCAACCAAGGCCTGTTCCACCGCCTCATGAATGGCCAGATTAAAAAAGGTTCGAGCCTGACCTTGGTCAAATGAACCCCCTATGGCCGAAACTAATCAGCCACCCCCTTCTCAAACCCTGTGAGGAATGGGTATCCCCCCAACCAGGCCCGGACTGGCCATCGGGCACACCGGGCAAATGCCCGGTGGGCCGCGGTGGCCATGGGCCGAGGCCGGCAGGGGAGATCACAGGATCTCCCCTGCCGGTCTATGCAGGGCCGGCACTCTCCTAGCGCCGGCCCCGCTGTTTGTCACGACGGGCCGGTGGGGAGATCAAGGATCTCCCTGACCGGCCCACATGCGGCTGCCGGCGGGGAGGGAGGGAGACAGCCAGCCAGCTAGGCTGGAGAGAGGACCCGGCGGAGCTCTAACTTGCAGCTCCGCCGGGTTCCTCTCGCGAGATCCGGCGCGTTGCCATGGCAACGACCGGATCTCGCGAGAGTGAACTCTAGCCTCACAGGCTAGAGTTCACTCACCCACGAGGACCACCAGGGAACACCGCCACCCTGCCTGCCAGCTTGCCGGACCCCCCCTCCCAGGCTAAAGGTAAGAAGGGAGGGGGGAAATAATGACTTTTTTTTTTTTTTTTATTTACCCCCCCTACACACACACACAATAACATTTATACAGCACTCTCTCCCACAGCACTCTCACACCCATCACACACAGCACTCTCACACACAGCACTCTCACACACAGCACTCTCACCCATCACACACAGCACTCTCACACCCATCACACACAGCACTCTCACACAGCACTCTCACACACAGCACTCTCACACAGCACTCTCACACACAGCACTCTCACCCATCACACACAGCACTCTCACACACATTACACACAGCACTCTCTCACACATCACTCTCACACCCATCACTCACACCCAGCACTCTCTTACCCATCACACACAGCACTCTCACACAGCACTCTCACACCCATCACTCACACCCAGCACTCTCTTACCCATCACACACAGCACTCTCACACCCAGCACTCTCACACCATCACACACAGCGCACTCTCACAGAGCACTCACACACACACAGCACTCTCACACCCATCACACACAGCACTTTCACACACACAGCACTCTCTCACAGCACTCTCACACCCATCACACTCACAGCACTCTCACACCCATCACACTCACAGCACTCTCACACACACACAGCACTCTCTCACACAGCACTCTCTCACACCCATCTCACACAGCACTCTCACACCCATCACTCACACACGGCACTCTCACACCCATCACACACACCGCACCCCTCACACACACACCGCACCCTCACACACACACATGCTGCACCCCTCACATACACACAGAACCCCCCCAACACACTGCACCACACACATACACAATACTTCCAAATATATATATATATATATATATATATATACACACACATATACATACACACACACACTACACTCTTAAAGGACCACTCTAGCCACCCAGACCACTTCAGCTTAATTAAGTGGTCTTGGTGCCAGGTCCTTCTAGGGTTAACCCATTGTTTTATAAACATAGCAGTTTCAGAGAAACTGCTATGTTTATCAATGGGTTAAGCCTTCCCCCAAAGCCTCTAGCAGCTGTCTCATTGACAGCCGCTAAAGGTGCTTGCATGCTTTTCACTGTGAAAATCACAGTGAGAGCACGCAAGCGTCCATAGGAAAGCATTATAAATGCTTTCCTATGCGACCGGCTGAATGCGCGCGCAGCTCTTGCCGCGCGTGCGCATTCAGCCGACGGGGCTGATCGGAGGAGGAGAGCTCCCCGCCCAGCGCTGGAAAAAGGTAAGTTTTAACCCCTTTCCAGAGCCGTGCGGGAGGGGGTTCCTGAGCCACATATGCATCACATTACACCACAAACACAACACGACTAAAACCGACCTTATTACACAATACCACACCACGACCAGCTCACTCTACACACACCCAATACCACAAGCAGGCTCCAAACACATGCACAATACTCTGTCCTGGCCTTTTGTCTCCTGGTATCCATTTATAGAGACACCAGAGACAAGTTGCAAGGAAACACAATGCAAGCATGTTATTAAATTTGCTTGCACTGTGCAGAACAAATACAGGACTTTTTTCTCATGCTAGAGCTCTTCAGCAGAGCTCTGCGCGTGGTCTGCCCTGGAAGAGCATTGAACCAACATGCTCACTTTGAGAGGAGGCGTGTTTGTCATTGGTGATGACAAAACACACCTCCTCTGCCCCGCCCCCTTTTTAGTGGGCCGCTGTGTTAAAAAAATGCCCGGGCCGAATTTTTCTCCCAGTCCGGCCCTGCCCCAACCCCTACAATGAACTGTGAAACCTGGCGGTTAAACTCTTTGCGGCAGCGCTCCAGCGCACTCTGGCTAGGTTGCAATGCTGCTGCCCATCCCATGTGTTCCCTATTAAGGGTTGATAAGCATGTAGGGATGTATATAAAAAATACCCCTCTCTAGCGCGAGGACACCACCGAGGGCAACATACCCGCCGAAACCCCAATGCTCCAGCAGTCGCAACAGACCATGAAACGAGCAGGCAAACCCGAAAGATACCCACCTCCGACTCCAGCGCCTGCCACCCATACCTTGGACTACCTGGCCCAAGAGCAACTGGACCTACACAACACATTAAGACACAGGCACCGGAGCACTAGGCGCTGGAGCGGGCGTATTACCGGAAGAGAAGAGGCCGAGAGCTGGTTAAACACCTGGACAACCCCCAGGTCATCACAGTGACAAAACGACCTGACGCTCCTGCAGCTCCCGACCCCACAATTCCAATGCCACCACAATGGGAAAAAACTCCAGGAAGGCAAGATTCCTGGTTAAGCCAGACGCAGACCACGCCGCTGGCCAGGTGTCAGCACACCAGCACGATCCCAAAATCGCCCAAACCCAACAGAGCCAGTAGTGTCCATATAGAGGTGCAAGTCGGAACCTAGAATGGAACTTTGCATTACCTTCGTCCGAGTCCTACCCTTCCTTGTCCCCCAGAGGAGGGTCATCCTCTGAGGGCAAATGGGGAATATCTCGACAAAATCACCCTTTCTTGATTTTTCCCGAACCTCCTGTTTGAGAGGCACCCTTAGGGTTCCCCTTTTGCCGCGTCTGCGACGTCATCCAAAGCCCCCTGGTTACCCCCCCCCATGCAGGGCTAACTTCCCCGCCAACCGCGGGACTCACCGTTGCGACAGGAAGGTACTGCACTGAGCGCAACTGACCGTCCAAGCCCTGAGCCCCCTGTGCCAGCACACCCCGCTCCCAATGAGAGAGGAGATCCCGCAAACCCGACATGAACCCGCCTAGCACAGACGCCCCAGCCAATGCAGGAAGACATGACTCACCTGACGGCACCCCAGGAACTGCTTGCGGCACCATAGCAGAGACAGCAGCTTGAGAAGAGGATTCCATCACCTGCAGCGCAGTTCCCAGGGCAACTGGAGCTCCAGACGCCACCTGCTGCACGGCAACTGCACCCAAAGCCTGAGGAAGCAGTGGAGAGATGGAGAGCCCACGCTCCAGGACAGGAGGCTGCCGAGACAGGTAAGGAGGGGGGGGGTGGAGAGTGGGAAGGGCCCCAGGGACAGGGGAGGCATGGACACAGGGACAGGGGAAAAGGGGCAGCACAAAGGGGGGAGGGGAGAAAGGGCAGAGGAGGAGAAAGAGGGGGTGTGGGAGAGAAGAGACCCAGCCAGGCCAGCCCCAGAGACATCCACGCCATGGGGAGAAAAAGGGGGGGAACAAAAAAAAAGAGGGGGGGACAATATAGAAAGGGGGGGACAAAATGAAGAACCACAGGAAGGGGAGGACAATAAAGAAAGAGGGGACAATAAATAAGAGGAACAATAATGAAGAACCACAGGAAGGGGGACAATAAAGAAAGAGGGGGACAATAAATAAAGAATGACAATAAGGAAGAACCACAGGAATAGGGGGCGGGGGCGACCCACACCGCCAGCGGAACCCGGAGGAGGAGGCCACTGTCTGCAACAGCACCAACCCTGAGAACAGACAGAATGGATCCAACATCCAGGACACCCACAGGCCGAAATCCAGCAAGCCCAGCAACAGGAGGAGGCAGAGAAACTTGTTGCTGGCCCGGCTCCTAAGTGGCACTGAGGTCAGTCCCAATTGTCACCACCCACTTAAAAAAAAAAAAAAATTAAACCCTTTGCAATTTGGTCTAGGGCAACTCCATTATCAGTTTTACTTTATGACATCCCCGACTTCAATTTAGATTACTGGACACCACATTCTATCACACACATTGATAATTTATTTACATTAAACAAAATTAGCAAATATGACCAAATGGAAAACCAATTTGATTTGAACATTTCCAATGAAATAATATACAACAGTAATTGGACAACTTATCTTGGACTCTTTATGGACTTTTAATTTTGTATTATATTTGTTTTGTTTTTATTTCTGCATTTCGTCACTAAGAGATCTACCACGCTGCTACCTGGTTCCACAGTGTGTGGAGACATGCCCAGATTTTCTACCTGCTTTTAAGTGCAATCTTAATAAACCTTTGTTTGATTTTACTGTACTTCACCATGTATCTCTTTCCTCCATTTACCAAAAGGATTTCCAAAACTGAGATCTACCAGCTCTCTGATCCGTTTTAACCCCTGGTGGGGTGAGAAGCCTGTTTCATCTTATGTTTGTGAGTTTAATACTAAACACTACTCACTCCTTTTTATCATACTGTATTACCCTATGTAATGTTTGTCATGATTATAGAGCTCTACTGATCTCATTTATCCTGGTCCAAATTTCCAGGTTATATCCAATTTTATACGTGTACTGGGTGGTTTTCCAATCTTCTTTGCTTTTAACTTATTAGTTGGGTGTCTGCGAGGTACACCTGGGAACACTTCGTTTTTCACGTATTGTTACATTTTTTTCTTAGTGTGTTTATACATTTTGCCTTAGATGGAGACATACCTGTTTCCTTCTAGCTCACATACTAACTTGACAGCTGGAGTCCAGTCAAATGCCCCAGGGTCCTTCTTAAGCCACTTATTCAGCTCAGCACAGTTTTGCTCAAGGAAGTCAGAAGTAATTATATTCTTAAACACCTCACAGGCTGAAAGGAGATGATAGATGGCTGGCCCAGCACCAAAATCAATTAAGGTATCTCCTACGATCTCACCTAATGAAGAAGGGAAAACAATACGAATATATAAATAGAATGGTATCTCTGAAAGCATTGATTGTTAATGCATTACATATAATTCTCTCACCACATGTATTATCACAGGATACAGTAACTATGGGGTAATTGGTGGGATTTTATAAGGAGTAATTTTATTATAGTAGTAATAAAACATTAGTGACTTAATCACAATCAATAATGATGCTGTAATCAACATGGTAAGATAATGTGCCAATAACAATGTTAATGCTATCGTAATCCTAGCAGTGCAGATATATTCTAGAGCGCTCATTCTAGATACATTCTAGAGCACATTTACTATTAGTTCAGTGGAAAAGGTTCTGTTCCTTACATTAAACAGTCAAGCCTTAAGATTCACTGTTCCTGCTTCATTTTATTGAAGTGGTGGTAGAGCCCAAAGTTAAGGTATTTGGTATTTGGGGACGGGGGGTATTAAAAATGTGTGCTTTTTGTGTTTGGAGATAATTGAGTTTACTATAGTGCTTGACTCAATTATCTTCTAAGTAAAGGGGAAGGCTTATTGTATTGTATATGAGAGTGTCATGCATTGTAACACTGGTATTATTGGTTTGTAACTTTGTAACAATGTTCCCCACAAGGTCCATGTCGGAGTGCCCCTTGCATGGGGATTGTCATAATAGGCCAAGTGTGGCACCATTAAAATCAGTTCCTCTTCACCTTCAACATAGAGCCTCGTCTTATGTGTGGAGGGGACAGCTATATTCACTCTGGGAATTGCTATACTCCCTACGCCCTTATAAGAGCTGCTCCTGCTATACTCTCTGGATTAGGAGAGATTCACCCACCGGAAGCTGGATCCTGGTCTTGGATCCAGGGTGGGTGGAGGACAGCGAGATCCCCAGCCAAGCTGCGGCAGTTTGTGGGAGTCTACGGTGCTGATGGTGTCTGGTGGAGTGCTTGGAGTCCTCGGTGAGCACTAGAAGCATTGGTCGGTCACAGTGGAATACTATTATAGTAAATTGTATGGAAACAAAAGCTGATTCTGGTGTCCATATTGGACATAAATAGTAATAATATTGGAGAATATGTTACAAATATTTTTAAATATCAATGGGGTAGATAGATCAAAATCTTGTAGGATCCAAATTGAACAGGATTTAGTTACAGTCAAAAATTGTTAATAGGAGCAATGCAAAATGAACGGAAATTGGATAGTGTTAGGGGTAGTAGTAAGGTGGAAGATAATCATTTTGCAGAAGAATTAATATATAAATGGTGTAAAATTGAATTCTTCGTTCAAACCCCTTGGGGCTAGCGTCTGGAATTCATGTATCCATTTTGATTCTCTCTTCAATAGCCGAATATTGATGCCTCCTTTTATGGTATTTGTGGTGATTCTTTCAATTGCTTGAAATTTTAGATGAGATGGGTCTCCATCATGTGCCCTTTGGATGTGATTGCAAATATGTTCTCAGTTGCTGATACATTTTGCCTACATATTGTAATGTGTAGCTGCATGTAATGATGTATACAACTTGTGTGGTGCTGCAATTGATGAAATCCTGTATTGGATATGTGTTAATTCTAGAGCACTCAATTGTTTTGGAGGGCTTTATGAACTTACACGCTTTGCACCTACTGCATCTATATATTCCTTTGGTCTGAGTCAACCATGTCTCGGGGTTTGATATTGGTTCTAGATGACTGTGTACTAGAATGTCTTTTAGATATTTTTGGTTTCCATGCCGTTATGCTAGGGAATGGTGTAATGCTTTCCTGTAGGTTCTGATTATGTCTCAAAATTGGCCAATTATTGGAAAATATTTATTTTATCGAGTTCCAGAGTTGATCATATGTTCCCAGGGACGTATTAGCTGTGAGGCAAACTAGGCATTTGCCTTGGGCGGCATTTTTCAGGGGCGACAAAAAACGCCTCCCCCCAAATGCCCAGGGCAAATGCCTTGTTAGCCTGGCGGCTAACTGACATGCTGGGCACTGGGCGGCGCTGGCTGATGGTCAGGCGGGCAGCTGGCGAGGGAGCTCTTCCCCTGAGCGGTCTGCTCAGCTCCCTCGCACAACGCAGAGTGAGGCTGGGAGCCGGAATATGAGGTCATCAACCCGGCTCCCAGCCTCACTCTGCGGCGCGAGGGAGCTGAGCAGACCGCTCAGGGGAAGAGCTCCCTCGCCAGCCGCCCGCCCAGCAGCCACTGGACCACCAGGGAGAAAGAGGAACCCCCCCCAGCACTCCCAAAGGTAAGGAGGCTGGGGGGGGGGTGTTTAAATTTTTAAAAAAAAGTGTTAATGTGAGTGATTGTGTGTGTGTGTCTGACTGTGTGTGTGTGTGTGTGTGTGTGTCCGACTGTGTGTGTGTGTGTCTGACTGTGTGTGTGTCAGACTGTGTGTGTGTGTTTTTGTGTCTGACTGTGTGTGTGTGTGTGTCTGACTGTGTGTGTGTGTCTGGCTGTGTGTGTTTGTGTCTGACTGTGTGTGTGTGTCTGACTGTGTGTGTGTCTGACTGTGTATGTGTGTGTGTGTGTGTCTGACTGTGTGTGTGAGTGTATATTTAGAAGGTGGGGCGGGGGGTCAGGGTTGGGTGGTGGTGGCGCGAGGGGGAGGGGGTTGCCTGAGTTTTGTCCTGCCTAGGGCAGCACAAAACCAGGATACATCACTGTATGTTCCTATGTAACACATTTGTTTGTCTGTGGATTTAAGTCTTACGGTCCTCAAACTCTTTAAAATGCCTTCTTTAGGACCCTGTTAGGGTATCCTTGTTCCTTAACCCCTTAAGGACCAAACTTCTGGAATAAAAGGGAATCATGACATGTCACACGTGTCATGTGTCCTTAAGGGGTTAAATCTTTGTTTTATTTCTTTTGCTTCTTTTTGAAAGGTGGATAGCACCTCTCTGCTTTATGTACCTGCTTTATCTACCAGTCTGATCAACAAAGGACAACACTGTGCTGCTCCTTCTATGTGATATAACATATCACCTATAGAACATTCAACTTTTAGAGCATTTAGCTCTTAATTTTATTTATTAATCTTTTTCCATTATAATTTTTTTTTCTTTCACCGATTTTTATCTACACTTGGTGAAAACTTGGTATTAAGGGTGTTTGAATAAAATATTTTATTTGTATATATCATTAAATGTTATGTTTTAACAAAATTTTTCCCAAAGACTCCTGACAACCATGGACGAAATTACCTTAACCTAACAAACTCCTGATTTTGCTTGCTTATGTATTTTTGGTTATCTATTTCCTGAAACTATAACTCTACTGTTGCCATTTAGGTCCCTGGCCCCCCTAGTCCCCAGTTAAAACGGTGATTTACAATGTCATTAATGTATCGGTTTGCAGTATGTTGATCATATGTGCCTTTTACCTGCTGCACATTGAGGGACTTGGGAGCCCACATCATCTGCTACTCTTTTATGGCATGGCACCTGCATGTCACTTGATAAGAAACCTCCTTTGCCTAAGCGTAGTTTTTGCTTTAATTTATTTTTATGTGCTTGATGTGATAATTGGAGACATGCATATCCTATTAGCTATGATTTCTTTATGTTGGCTTTGTGTTTAACTTGAAAGTGGAAAATGGCAATAAAAATATGTATACAGAAAAGGTGACTTACTCACTTTTTCCACCTCTGCGCTGGTCTCCTTGTGGCTGGCTCTGCTCCCACACCCCCCACTGCACCCTCAAATTTTACAATCTCAGTCAATCCAGTGCATACCCATAAGAAAGCATTGGGAGGCTGTCGCACATATGCAGCAAATCGCCGCATTGTGTTAATAAGCATCTTCTTAGAAATGCGTTGACTCAATGCATCTATGAGGGACGTTCAACACCTTCATGCACTCTATGCAGCACTGAAACAGGAGCACCCCTAATGGCCATCTGAGTGACTCTCTGAAAAGACAGTGTGTTCATTAAAATGCCTGCAGCGACAGGCTTTAGACACCAGAACAACTACATTACACTGTAATTGTTCTAGTGTCCCTTTAAGCACAATCACAATTTTTCTAAGGATACAGTTTTGAAACATTAAAGGGAAACACTGGACAAATTTGCACTACAAAGGACTTGAAAAAATACAGTAAATAAAAGTTATAACATTATCCAATACCCCCTTAATATTTTATTGTTTTGCTTGTTAGAAATATAAGACTACAAATAACTAAGGCAAAGGAAATGTTTTTTTTACTGTAAGAACAATAAGGATGGGGAATTCTCTGCCTGAAGAAGTGGTTTTATCAGAGTCCATACAGATGTTCAAACAGCTCCTAGATGCATACTTGCAAAAACAGAATATTCAAGGATATAATCTTTCAATGTAGGGTAATAGCTTCTTGATCCAAGGATTAATATGACTGCCATTCTGGGGTCAAGAAGGTCCCCTAGCTTGTTGCAAAATTGGAAGTTCTTCAAACTTTTTTCATTTTTTTGCCTTCTATTGGATCAACAGCAAAAACAAATGTGAGGAAGGCTGAACTTGGACGCGAGTCTCTTTTCAGCTATGTAACTATGTAACGATGTAACTATGTAACTCCCTGAGTTGGTGATTGTTCGAAGATGTTACCAAAACGATTGAACCACTTGACGAACAAATAAACAGTTATAGTAAAACACATCAAATTCTATAACAGAACACGAGGAACACTATGCCGGAAATGTAAAGTTTTAAAATCCTTGAAGGGACACTATAGTCACCAGAACAACTATAGCTTATTGAATTTGTTCTGGTGAGCAGAATCATTACCTTTAGGCATGGGCGTCCGCAGGAATTTTTCCAGGGGGGCATAATTGTAATGACATCCATGCTCAGCCTCTTTTTGCAGTGCCGGACAGGGGCTACAAAGTATCCTTGGGAAAAAAATGTATGCCAGCCCCATAAGTCATTGTGCCATGTAGTGTGTGTGTATTGAATATCTATCTATATATTATTATTATTTTTTTAATATTATTTACATATATGCAAGGACCTTACGATCACATAGACGGCATATCCGTCCAAGGCTTTGCCAGCAGGGGGAGTGCCTGTAATGACAAGTACTCCCCCTGCTGTCTGAAAAAGATAACATAAAAGTTAAATCAGTGTAAAATACAATTATGTATACTTAGATCATATATATATATATATATATATATATATATATATATATGATCTAAGTATATATATATATATATATATATACATACTGTCTAAGTGTATTTTAATATTAATATATATAATTTTACCACATGACAGGAGGCTTCATATTTGCATATCTTTCTTTACTGAAAACTCCAGCAGCATAGAAACATAACAACCAATCAGAAAAAAGTTATGATGCCCATAAAAGGCCCTGTCTATGACATCATTTCCTCTTTCTTTGCTGCTCCAGCCATGCATCAGGTCAGAGTATTTTACCTCTCTGGTAGATTCTTAATTTACACTGTTTTTTGATTGTCATACCACTATATATTACTCTATTTATTGCTAACACCTGCTACCTTGGCCCCCCTTATTCCTGTCCCTTCACTGTATCCCTCTGTTTTTTCCCCCTTTTTATTTCCACCTTACTGCCTGGTATCCGCGGGCGCAACGACTACCCGTGTCGCGCTCGCCTCGCGGACCGGCCCTTCTCTTACACAGGGGACTGTATGGGGACGGGTGGAGGGAGGCTGGGGTCAGTGTTTGTGTTGCATTTATCCCCTTTGTTTTGCACCTTCACATGTGGGCGGCGGCCATCTTGGATCTTGCGGCTCGCGAGATACCCGACGGCCGCCTTCCCTGCTCGTTCGGCAGATCGGGAACTCACCCGACCGCCGGGCTCCACAGTGTATGCTCTCCCAAGTGAACAATGGGAGAGTGCAAGCTGGATTTCAGTTTTTTCTCCATGTATTCTTTCAATGTATTTTGCCACAGTGCCTGCCAACAGTGTCTGCCAAACAAATACTTACATGCAGGCATTAAAGGAGATTATGTCTTTGTACCTTACTCAGGGTCTATACCCTATACAGGGTCATACCATATTACTATACCCTGCACAGGGTCATACTATATTACTATACCCTACAGGAATCACCCGATCACCGCGCCCTGCATCTGGATTAACCCCTTCAGGGGTCCCCCTCTCTGGGCACATTCATTTATTGATACAATTATTATTTTTTATTCTCATGGATATATCTCTCATGGTGCACTCTTACACTGGATGTTTATATGTTGAGCAGGCACACAATCTATGTATTATTGTGAAGCCATACAATATCACAGTCGTTATACAAAACATATACTGTACCTATAACAAGATCAACTATATCACTGTACCCTACGAAGGGCATATTGTGTTACTGTACCCTACAAAGGGCATATTATATTATATTATTGTACCCTACAGAGGGTCATATTATATTACTGTACCTGACGGTGCAAATTTATGTGGGTGTCCTCTGGGTATTTTTTCATGGCACACCACCTGGGGTGACCCCCCAGATATGCATGCAAGGTCACTAACAGACCATTACCTTTGATGTGGGTGTCCTCTGGGTTACCATGGCACACCACCCGGGGTGAACCCCGATCATATGCACGGAGGCCTACGCCGCAACTTTACCACTGATTACTACAGACATATATGGATGTTTAAACACTGCCTGTCAGTTTTACATTAAAGCAACAGTACCATGCCGGATGCGACTTGACGGCAGGATCACTAAGAAAACTGAGTGTATTGCGGTGTACCCTTCACAGGGATACATATATGTATATTTACTGTGCCTAGTGTACATATTGAACGTGGGTGTCCTCTGTAATTTTTCATGGCACACCACCTGGGATGACCCCCAGATATGCATGCAATGCTTGTAAGGTGCCAATAATTATAATATGGGTGTCCTCTGGGTTACCATGGCACACCACCTGGGATGAACCCAGCCTAATAGACATGGGTCCTGCGGCCGCAGACCTTATGGAGACAGGCCCCATGCGCCTATATATAATAAGCCTGTATAGTTAAAAACCGTGCATACAGCTCTGGCGTACATTTGTGGTGAACCCGGCTAGCCAGACCGACACCACTACCAGTCAGTCGCGCCTGCACCACGGCTCTCAGTAGCCAGATTAAACTAATAGAGGTGACCCCTCTACACTTGGCACGAGTATTCATACTCTCAGACATACTAAAGCAGGCAATTCAAACCGTTTTACCTGGGTGATCCCCAGTTCTACCAGGAGTCTAACACCCCTACGTGCTGACCCTCACACTATCTCCCAACAGGACGGGAACGAGTCATGGTGGACACTCTCAACGTTCCCAAGATTTCTAGGCAATGCTAAACGCCACAGTAACGGCCTCAGTGGAGAGGGTTCTGTTATGAACTCTACCCCACACCGCTTGATGGAGACCTCAGGCCCACAAGCCTTCAAGTCAAAACGGCAAGGGAAGGGCTCCAGCCCCCCTGCCGCTAAGGTCAAGGGCAAGACGCCCATCGATCAGACCAAATAGGCGGAGCACAGGGAATCCAAACCCCGTCCGCCACAATCTTCCGACAAAGAAGACTATTACCCACCACGTACTTTGGACATGGTAGATGAGCGACACGAAGACAGCTCACCGTCTGAGGAAATGGAACGGCAAGACCTTCCCCACACTTCCTCAAAGTACGTTAGGGAAACCTTACTCTGTGACGGCGGCTGAGGCAGAGATAACTGTAGCGGCACTAAACCAGAGTAGCCGAAGACGGAACGTTCCTGGACGAACACTATTGGCTGCGCAACCCTCGGGGGATGGAAGGATGCGCACGCCTCAAGACCGAGTTACCCCAGGGTACACAACTCAACACTACCACCTCCAAAGAATGGTCTCAATGCTCGATATGCCTCCTGGGCAACGTAAATGACGCACTATGCGCCGACAGACGCAAATCTGTACTGGGCCGCATCGACAACACACTATTGGGCTTAGGAACGACAAGAATTCGGCCCAAAAGCACAAGGCCTACTATTCGACGTAGTGTTCATTGCAGTACTCAAGAAACACGTGAATTTATTCACCACACTAAATTAAACCCAGACCTCGCTAAAACAAGTCTTCCACAACCCTACGGGGAAAGGTGTTTCTGGGAGGACTGGTCGGTAGCTGAACCGAGCCACCAGCCGCTCCTGGGCGACAGGTTCCAGATCGTATACACAGTCCTCATATTTCTCCCATCTACTACACAAAGGAACCCATCCGCTTCATCTACTAGTGTGTCAACCTACATAACTAACTGTTTCCAATATTATGACCGGCAACCTGTCTCTGTTTTACAGAATTGGGAGACGACTACCAAAGTCACCTGGGTTCTCCAGACAGTACAAGGCTATGTCATAGAGTTTTATCACAGCCGTGCAGGTCGCCCCTTCACCTCCATTACGCACGCTGGCGGAACAGGAACGCCTCGTGGACAAGAAAATCTGCACCCTCTTCAGGAGGGGCGCAATTCAACATGCACCGGAGGGGAAGGCTTCCCCAGCAAATTTTTCCTGGTCAAGAAGAAGCCAGGAGACTACATCAATGGAACTCCTACATGGTATACAAATGCTGCAAGATGGAGGAAATTCGTCTTCTACAAGACCTCCTAGGCGATAACGACTGGTTTACACATCTGGACCTCAAGGACGCACGCTTGTCAGTACCCGTTGCCCTGGACTGCCGAAGTTTTCCTCCGATTCCAATGGTGAGGACAAACACGGCAGTTTACGACTCCGTGGTGCTCGTGAACCTACTGTAACCAGTGAGGGCACACATCCGTAAATTTGGGAGTGCGATGCCTCTTATACCTGGAAGACTTGCTGATTCTTTACGAATCCAGGCTACGTTTGCAGACAAATTTGTCGTTCACTTTCGGGACTCCATGTGTTTTTTGTTGTACACAGACAAAGATCGCTTCCCCATCTGAATCGGGCCAGTTCCTCGGTTTCGACATCGGCTTGGAGAACTACGTTCCGTGTCTGTCTACGGCAAAGAGCGCCTCTATAAGGATAGCTGTCGGATTGTGGGATTCCTCTCCTCCTCTCCTCCTCCATACAAGCGTTATTCTCTGGCCCACTACGACTGATGGTGAGATATGTACGCACCGGTCACTCATACGACCACTGGATCCCACTGTCAGCGGAAGTGAGGATGGAATTTCGATGGTGATTACTTCACATACAAACTTGGATTGGCAAAACGACCTTTGACTCTTCCTTCGGATACGGGGCGATGGATGAACCCCTGCAAACGTGACCCAGCCGTTCTCCACAATAGCAAGGGTGCTTCGATACACACACACACCCACAAGATATCGCTCCTGCTCATGACACCCCTCGAGCAGGGCCAACCGTGATTTTCCCAGATCGCCTGGAGATGTCTCGCGAAGACCCTCTACAACTCCCTACCTTCCCTCTACTTCTGACGGGACCTCGAGGGGAAGCCCACTCCTTCGTCATGGAAGGACAACTGGCACTAGTTGCCTGGACGGCTTCAGGGGCTCCTGGTCAGTTCACGACCTATTGCATCAACTAAGACCTCCTATGGGACTCATAGGCTCCCGGCACCAGGAAAGGCTATATTTCTGCCTGGTCGGCCTGGAGTGATTGGTGTGTGGAAAGGGATTCCGATCCCTTTACTGCACCTGTCCCACTGATCCTCAACTATCTGTCACACCTGGTCTCGTTGGGTCGGTCATATCAATCCCTCAACGTGATCAGATCCGCCATATCGGCGGCGCACGTTCCGGTACAGGGCAGAACAGTAGGTCAAGATACACTGGTTTGTCGACTACTGCGGGGTGCAGAATTGTCGAGATCCCTACACCCAAATATTCACGCCTCTGGCAGGTGGATGTGGTGCTGAGATTCCTTAGGGAATGGCCGGGCAATCCTTGTTTGTCACTGAAGCAACTTTCAGCCAAACTAGCCCTCTTATTATGCCTCGCCTCATTTAGACGGTGGCGGATGTTAGGGCTTGCGATATGGATGGTTTCTCTCTCACACCAGACGGGGTTACCTTTACCATGTCGAGACGAACTACGTCTGATTCGTCTTCAGTGTCATACCCATGCTTTGTGTCAGACGCCACACTATGCGTGGTCAGAACGCTAATGGGGTACACCAATATCTCTACCCCCTTCGAACTCATTCGACGGATCACCTTCTGACTTCTTACGTGAACCCTCATGGACCGGTGTCTACCGCAACACTGGCCAGATGGGTCCGCTGGTTTTTGTCTTTAGCGTCGAACCTTGTTTCGGAGCCCACTCGGTCAGGGGAGCGGCGGCCTCACAAACCTTTTCGGCCGACGCTTCCCTAGCCGACATTATACGCTGCGCGGACTGAGCGCGAGAGAGTACGTTTAGAACGTTCTATTTTTGGCAAACATCTCATGCTTCCTTCACATTGGTCAATTCAAAGCTTTAAAAATGCAAATATGAAGCCTCCTGTCATGTGGTAAAATTGAAGATTATATTAGCTTTAGTGTACTAATAATCTTAATTTTAGTAATGACAGGAGGCGAATATTTCCCACTCTATAGGATCCCTCCCATGTTTCTCGTGTTGAACAGAATATGTCCTTTACGTTCAGGAAGGTAAGTACGTATGGTTTGTATGTTTGCTACTTAGACCTGTACCTTGCGGGTCTTGTATTGGCTGAATATTAGACATGAACCTTGCATTATGTTGTGTTTATAGATCCTTAAATATCATTGCGTTAGAATAAATATATATTGATATGTTTCACATTCTAATGTTCGTTGGTATATCAGATGCTTATGCTTATTGTATGCGGACAAGTTATCACGCCAGATACCTTTCACCTTTTCTTTTTCTTGCAGCGTGAACGTCTTCTCATCGAGACAAAAATTCACCTTCCATACCTCTGCATCGCGGAACTAATGGAGTTGGATATTCTAATATGTTGTTGAACTAATGACGTAATATGATTATGTCTCTTGTTGTTATTTAAAGAATTTCAAAGAAAGAGGAAATGATGTCATAGACAGGGCCTTTTATGGGCATCATAACTTTTTTCTGATTGGTTGTTATGTTTCTATGCTGCTGGAGTTTTCAGTAAAGAAAGATATGCAAATATTCGCCTCCTGTCATTACTAAAATTAAGATTATTAGTACACTAAAGCTAATATAATCTTCAATTACATATAATGTATAATGTATGTATAATGTATGTATGCATGTGTGTGTCTACATGTATGTGTGTCTGCATGTGTGGGGGGTTGGGGACATATGGTGTGGGGGATAGACATATGGGGGAGGGGGGGGAGGGCAATTTTAGCACCGGGGCCCCATGGTTTCTAGTTACGCCTCTGGCCTCACTGCTGTCTTTCAGTCCTGCCTTTTCCAAACACTGGTAGGATTTTGTTATCTCAGCTTCATTAACTATCTGCCAGTGGTACACCGCATTGAGAGGTTTGTCTTGCCATGGAACCCCCCCTTTTCTACATCATCTATCTGCTGTTGTCTCAGGCATTGCCATAGCAGTTCATCTTTGGGAGCCATCTTCATGATGTACTTATGGATCATCTGGATTTTATTCAGGACTGTGACCTTGACAATCATCAGGCCCAGACCTCCTTCCTTCATGCTGGTGTGCAGTCTCTGGGTACTGGGTGGAATCCTTCATACATAGTGAATAGTTTCCAGGTCTTGACATCCATGGCGACCAGTTCTCTTCTTGGCCAAGTTATTATTCCTGCTGGTTACCTGATGACTAGTAGGGCATTGATGGCTTGGATCTTTTTCTTGCCATTGACTTGGGATTTCAGGACCTGTCTGACTCTCTGGAGGTACTTTTATATTACTATCCTCCTTGCTTCTTCCTCACGGTTGCCATGAGTAGCTGTTCTCTACATCTTCTATTTGGCCTTCTAGTACTTGAACTCCTTCTGTCCTGATCATCTTTCCCTTTTACGCTATCCTTTTTATCATCTGCTCACATTTCTTTATTTTGAACAATATTCTGATGTCCTTGCTGTATATCCTGATTATGTTATTCAGTGAGTCAACATCCCACTCATTCTTGGCATACAGCTTGATTTCATCCATGTAGAGTAGATGACTGATGGAAGCTCCACTCTTGAACCTGAATCTGTATCCACTATTCTTGATGGTCTGGCTGTGGGGGTTGAGGTCTATGCAGAACAGCATTGGGGATAGTGCAACACCTTGGTATATGCCACATTTGATGTTCACTTGTGTTATTGGAATTGGTTTCTAGAGTTGTTTTCCCACTTGCCCATTGAGTTCTTGATGAAGGCTCCTATTGACCTTGTATAGAGCCAAGCATTCCAGTATCCATGTGTGTGGCAATCGTGGCTTTGTACAGATTGGTCTGTCTGGTCTTAGAATCACTTGTGACTGCTTGGTCTACCAGTATTTGGTGTTTTAATTTTCTGGTGTTGTTTCCAATCCTCTTCTGAACATTGGTTATGTACTAACTCACATGTGCATCGATATTGAAGGCTTTGATGCCCAACAGGAGCTGCTATGTTCTGCGTAGACGGTTGATTAATCGGTTGTTAAATAGTGTTGTTCCCTTTTGAGGGTTCTTCTTGACCAGTATTGATCTGCCATGTGTTAGTCAGTCAGGGTGGGAGCCTGTTTCTAGTAACATTGAATGCTGCTAGGCATTTATGTAGCATTGTTAACTTCATTATCCAGTAGTTGTGGCTCATGTCAATTCCTGGGGCTGACCTACTGTTCATATGTGCTACTCACTGTTTGATATCATAGATTGTGATGCTTCTTTCTACCAGATATTCTTCCAGTACCGTTCGGTCTCTGTGTTTTGCATACACCTTGGATGGTTCTTTGGTAAAGAGGTCATTGATTCTTGTAGCCTCTGCTTCTCTGGTATATCTGCTCAGTATGGATTCTAGTGCTGCCAGTCCTTCCTTAGCTGTTTCCAGTGCCTCTGGTCCAGTGCCTTATTCTTGCACAGTAGTCAGGATCTATCTTTGATCTTTCAACCTCTGTGATATTGATCCAGCTTACTAACTTCCTTCTGTGCTGTCTTTATATTGGCTTCTAGTCATAGTCAACATGGTATATATACACACATACACACACACACACACACACATACACACTGCATGGACAAAAGTATTGTGACACCTGACCATTACAGCAAAATGACATCTCCTTCTAAATACATACATTAATATGTGGTTGGTCCGCCCTTTGCAGCTATAACAGATTCCACTCTACTGGGAAGGTTTTCCACAAGATTTCAATGTGTTTTTGTGGGAATTCTTGCCCATTCATCAAGCAGAGCATTTGCGAGGTCAAGCACAGATGTTGAATGAGGAGACCAGGCTCATAATCTCCATTACAGTTCATTCCAAAGGTGTTTGATGGGGTTGAGGTTAGAGCTCTGTGAAGGACAGACAAGTTATTTCGCAAAAAACCCATCCAACCATGTCTATGCTTGGTGCACAGGGGCACAGTCATTCTGGAATATAAAATGGCCTTCCCCAAACTGTTCCCACTAAGTCGGAAGCATAACAATATCCAACCTGTCTTGGTACGCAGAAACATTATGATTTTACTTCAATGGAAATAAGAGGCCAATCTCAATCCCTGAAAAACAGCCCCATACCATTATCCCTTCTACAACAAATGTTACAGTTGGCACAAAGCAGTCAGGCAGGTAATGTTCTGCATCTACCAAACACAGACTCATTCATCAGACTGCCAAACAGAGAAGTACTGTTTGTCACTTAACAGAACACTTTTTCACTGTTCCAGAGTCCATTGGTGGCATGCTTTCCACCACTCGATCTGACACTTGGCATTGCACTTGGTGATGTGAGGCTTGCATGCAGCTGCTTGGCCATGGAAATCTTTAAAACTTTCAGTTTTTCTGCTGATATTAATGCCATCCATGGACACAGCAGAGCATTGGAAACGTTTATGCACCATGTGCCTCCACACCCCGCTCTGTGACTGTACTTGGTCTTCCACTTTGTCGCTGAGTTGCTGCTGTTCCTAAATGCTTTCCCTTTCCAATAATACAATTTACAGTTGACCATGGAATATCTAGAA